TAAAACATAGATCGACAGTACTCTGTTACGTTGATAAGGCAACCACATGTGAGTTGAGAGCGTTTAAGCTGGATAAATACCGTTTTTCTTTACAATAAAAACTAATGTATTTGTTCTGTCTCTTAAAAATATGACCTTATCGCTGTCTGTCCCTGTGTATTTATGATTCATACAAACTACTAGACGGATTTCTATTTTTGTTATGCAAGTTAATGACCCTGAATAATTATATGTTTTTTATTTTCTGCGGTTGCTGCTGATTTTATTATAAAGCAAAAAGTGTATAGAGCTCCTAAAATGTATTTTATTATTAAATGCATTATTAAAACATTTTAGTTGTTGTGAGCGTAACCTTCTTTGGAACTCATGTTTTAAGATTTTTTTAAATAATACCATCTACTAAAATGCAAAATCCTGTTTTTCCTTTAGTTATATAATTCATCAATTGTCAAGTCATCATTTATTAAAGTAAATTATTTACATGAAGCCCTTTTTACTGGAAACGAGGCACTCCATCTTAGACCCCATGGGTAACAACATACTCGGAATTTTGATTTTTAAACAAGGATACATATAAATGTCTATGGGCTAGAGCATTCACGTATCACGTACTCGTACTATTAGGTGGACTGTGTACTCGTTTCTTACCCTCATTCTATAAAAAGTTAAGTGCGATTCATGTATGTTGCTAAGTCATTTCAGCACTTTCTACTTAAAACTAACCACATCAAAAACTTTTTGGCGTTTAATTTTTTAGTTGAAATTAATATAATAGGGAATCGAAAATGAAAAAAGCCTTGTAGGTTTTTTAAAATCTTTTATTTAACTTACGGTTGTTAGTGTCAAATCTTGCAACTAAATAACAATAATTATAACAATAACAAAATATTGTTTTACTTTTAATTTATTTATATCATTAAAGGAATAAAACTTTTCAAAAATAATGATTTCTCACAGAAAGCTTAAATGTGAATAGGGGCCAAGTTTGGTAAAAACGATGTTCGGGACTGTCGGCTTCGCCGATATAAGATTTACAATCTGAATGGATGTCATGGGAATGTACAACGTTGTTCAATTAATTTTAAAGATTTCTTTAACGTTCTTTGCTACTGCTACTTAAGATGCTGTTGAAGTAAGTAACTAAATTAAAAGTTAAAGGTATCCTTCGTTAACTATGGCCCCAGGTCGACATACAGCTCAGCGGTTTCGGACGTAAAGCTTCGTCCAGGATTGAAAAAGCCAAAAACGTTTAAGCGCGATAAAATTCATAAAATTAGTTTTACGAAAGTCAGTTTTTTAAAATTCATAAATCCTTATTTATACCACATGTTAATTCTTAATCCTTATTTATACCACATGTTAATTTTTAATTCTTATTTATACCACATGTTAATTTTTAATCCTTATTTATACCACATGTTAATTTTTAATCTCTGATTACCGGACAGATTGGACCGCAAGTCCTCCCGGGGCATGCTCTACGAGAACGAGGAGCTAAGATTACGCACAATTAATATAAATGCAGAGGTTGAAAGAGGTAAGTGACATAAATATTTTTTATAAAGTTTTATCACTTGGAAAGTTTGTTTCACTGATCTATATAATACGCAAAGGGAAAACATCACACCCTTTTTGAGCGTATTGTGCGCACGGAAGAGTGACAGATTGGCATAGTTAAAACTTAAATGGAGAACGAGTGCGGAAAGAGAAGATTTATATATACTCAATAGTTGTTACAAATGCACTAAATTAAATTAAATAAAAAATTCATTCTTCACTTTTCAAACACATAATTGTTTCTTACATACTGCCAATGTCAAAGTAAGTACTACATAACTTTATACTTATGTTATTACTCTAAGGTCAATGTCAAACACTAGATTACGAACCTAAAATCTTAAAGAATTATTAATTTCAATAGTTATTACAAATCTACCACCAGTACTCAGTAATTTACAACTGTTTTCGAAGCAGAGTAAAAATGTCGGTGCGGTGGCTTATTTTTTAGCATTGGGTGACAAACGAGCACACAGTCCACCTGATGGTAAGTGGATGCTATATGCTAAGAGCCACATAGACGTCTACATTTATCTTCAATTAATAATCAAAATGCTTGGATTGACACCCCTGAGGACTAAGATGGAATACCTCAATTCCAGTAAAAAGGGTCTCCGGTTCTCTGCACTCACCATACGAAACACAGCAGCATTACGATGCTATTTTACACTACTATTCCGTGACAGCCTGATCCTGCCCTGATCGAGCCGGCCCATTCGTGCTAATGATTTTTTATTTTTACGCGAACACTACACATTTAAATAAAACAGGTTTTTATGGATTTTATCGCGTATATTGACTTATTTTATATTCCCGACGTTTCCAGCACTTTACAGCACCTATAGTCAAGGGGGTCTTTTTAACCCTCGGTCGACTTGGCTGGGGAAGGACCTCGCTCTCATTGAATACTAAAATAGCAGCTTAATGCTTCTGTGTGTCATATGCTGATTATAGAAAACCGAAGACCCTTTTTACTAAAAACGAGGCGTTACATATTAATCTAATCTTAATGGAGGATATTTGTTGATGTCAATGGAACGCTGCATTGTATACCCGTAAGTTGCAAAAGCCACTTACCATCAGCATCTACATTTTGATACTTAATCGAGTGTAGATGTAGATGTCTATGAACCGCAGCATCCAACCAATCTCTTATTGTTATTACAAGTGCCTATCTGTGTGTAGTGCCTATACTGCTGAGCAAAAGCTTGCCCCGTAGTTTTCTCGTAGGGGAAATCTTTGTCATAATTGCCACGCTTGGCATGACTGTTGGCAACCACTCTTTTTTGAGTTGTTATCAGGAACATGCTAATGCCATTTTTACCTACAGTTCTCTATCGCCTCTTACGACATCCACGTAAGCGTAAAGTGTTCGACTTACTCTATTCAAAATTAAAATATTTATATAAACTAGCACATATAAAATCTTTGATTAAATATTCTAGTCTATTAATTGTCTTAATAATGTGATCTTTAATATTCGTTAGAATCAATTAATTTTATTGTTTACACAGGTCAATCGGATATTAAGAAATTGAAACGAGAAAATGAGCAGCTGAAACGCGAGATATCAGCACTACGCTATGAGTACGACCGTCTTGATAGCATGCTGCGGGAGAGACGATCGTCGCCCGAACACTCGGACGTACGGACAAGTTGTTATTAAATATATCGTTTACATTGCTATCATTGTAGCTGGCAACTATGATAAGCTTTTCGTTCGCAACTTTTAAAAACCTTTAATTTTAACTTTTTGTTAGAATATGTACCACCCCATATCGTACCGTGGGTAGAGGAACCGAAACAGGACATGGAGCATCTTCTTGATAACAATTCAAAACAATAAAAAAACTGCGATTGGCTATCATTCTGTTAAGCGTGGCAACTATGCCAAAATCTATCTAACCTATGGAGGCCTACGTTCAACAGCGGACTGTTATGGACTGTAATGGATGTATATGATTTTTAAAACATGCATGGCAAAATACAAAGACTAGTGAGCTACTTGGATCACGTTAAGCCGGAGAATATGGCTAGAAAGAAAATTGTGCAAAAAAAATGATGTGCTAGCTCGCCTACGCGCAAACACAAACCCAATATACCATTAGTCGCCATTCTCTGGTATATTATAGCGTATTATCTAAGGTCGCAAAACAACAAAAAGACAACAGTTATTCCAGCATCTATATGATAGATTAGGTAGACTAAAGTTAAGACTTCTATGGAATGTTAGTAATAAAATTGTCCATATTATCCTTTGAATATTATACGATAATAAAAGACCATTTATCGTTTATCTTCAATTTCTTTTGTCATTGCAAAAAATTTGTGGCCTATCCAGATAGTGTTCAAATCTTTATACAATTATAAACCAGATTACCATTGATTCGCAATGGCAAAGGAACTGTAAACAGCTGTCAATATTAATTAAAATATTAAACGAAGAATGTTATACCTCCTTCAAAGAGAATTAAGTATATATACTATAGAGCGGACATTGGTAACTATATTGTGGTGGCAGCTCGACCGGGGTAGGACCATGCTCTCACAGAATACCAGCGTAAAATAGCAGTTAAAATGTTTCGTAAGATTAGCGTAGAGTACCGGAGACATTTTTACTGAAAACGACGCATTCCATCTGTCCTCTAGGCGTTATAGCCGTGGTAAGTATCAAGTGGGTACCACGAGCACGTGCGCCGTCTTGACATGATCTGAAGTTCATAGTCAATCCGAGTCATAATCTCGCGCTGCATCACTACTATCCATCAGGTGGGATTATAGTAAAGCACTGGCTTACTTAAAAAAGCACCCCCTCTACGGAGTCCCCCGCAAAAGCCTACTATTAATATTTCTTATGTCATTTTCATTAAACAATTTGTCTCAAACTACAAGGGGTTCCAAACATGTAGAAATAAACTTAGGAAATATCAATTAAGTTTTATATATAATGTGAAATTATAACACTTGTTAAAACTACTTATTGAAAATTTCATGAAATAACAGGTCGCAATGTGTTCATAAATATTAAACAAAACAAATTTTGTCTTATTAAGATACCGATGGTTTGAAATTTGAATATTGGTATCAAAAGGTACCAATTAAGAACTATATATACTTGTAAAGAGATGTCTAAAAGCCAGTATTCCGACATCTTGACGCTCAAAATAAAACTGCATTTCCAACATTTATAAACTGGAATGGCAGCATAGGCATTATTTTTAACAGACAAACTATCAGAAAAATACTGATAACTTCAATCGAAATATAGGGATAGGTAAGTATTTAAGTAATCACTATTATTTTGTTTGTGTATTTGATGTAAGCAAAAATATTTTGTAAGCAAAATAATTAGAATAGTGATTTCATTAACATCTTCATAAAAAATAATATATAATTATTTTACCAAATATACCTTCATTATTTCTAAATGTTAATAACAAAAATTAGTCTAGTATATGTAAAGGACTAGGATTAAACACGTCAACAAAAGGATTCCACCCACGATAGCAATCACATACTTCTATACAAAGGTAATAACGATCCAATTTTTGTGCAATTTCTCTTAAGGGTGCTATTAAAATAGTTATATCTTCTGATGGCATGTCAGCTTCGATAAACAAACTGTATAAATTGATACAATTTTTGATAAAAAGAACTATATTATCTGAAGCTACAATATCATTAACATTTCTCTCATATTCACATATATGAATGTTTTCTAAATTATGAAAATTGCACAATATTCCAAACAATTCTACATAGTCTATGTCTTCCGATGTCAATTTTATATTTTTCAAACTCTTGGCAACATGCACACTTCTTGCTAGTGAATTTGTGTAAGATCGAAAAGTACTCAATTTGCCACGTCTTTCTACGTAAATATCTAAAGTTTGAAGCTGAGGGCACTCTGAAAATAATGTTGAAAAGAAGTTGTCCTTGATACAAACATTACTTAGTCGCAAAAAATTTAGTCGTGACAATGTTTCTAGTCCCGACAACAAACTAATCGGTCTACTGCGCCTTATTACTGATCCATTTTTTCGACAAAAATCCGTTAACGTGAGTTTAGTTGGTAAATATTCTAAATTTTGTTCAAAATCTTTACAAGAATCAATACAATACCAATCGTTTGCAACGTTCATTACCCTCATATTTACTTTTTCAGTCATACAAATATACGTGGGGAAGTAATCTTTCAGTTCCCTAAGTAGATCTGCAAAAAACTCATCGTTAAAATTAGTAACTGCTTTGTTCCAAGCTTTGAAGACTATATTCAAGTCCAACATAAAATCTTGAGGTAAGACTGGACACACTTTCACGTGTAAATCACTGCAAGTATCATGAAACAATCTCATGAAAACTGGCGAGACGTATACTTGAATTCTTTCTAAATACATTATAAATATGTATTCAATATTTGCGAAATCTAAATTCCTAATTCCTTTTAAATAATGAGAGGTCTTGTGCGTAACGCGGCAGTCTCGTATAAAATAGGACAATTTAGAAAAGTTTATATCAATAATTTCATCACCACCTTCATTATCATTTAATATATTACTGCAATCTTCGTAATTATCAGCGATCGTTATTTTTAATTCTTGGATATTTGGAACATTTTTCAAAAACTTTAATGGACATTCTCTATCGTGTAATTCAAACACAATAAAATGGATGTTAGCAAATTCCTTCTCTTTGAATAAATTTTCGCATATTTCCCATTTTCCATCTTCTTTACACTTGCGCGTATTCCTAAAAAAGTTTATACCTATATTTTTTAAAGTATTTGGACAGATCTCTATTATATCTGATAAAAAAATTCTTGTAAATGTTACGTCCAAAGTTTTTAAACTTGTAAATCGGGGAATATACAATTTTAAATAATCAGTTGTTAAATCTTGTACACCGCTTAAATTTAGATCTTGAATAAAGTGGATCAAATGTAAACAAAGTTCTTCTTGTAAGGTTTTTACAGTTGCAATACGACTTCTCGATAGATTTAGCCTTTTGACGTGGCATGGCGTAAAAAAGGGTCTTAAGCTTTTAGAAGCATTGTAAAAGTTTATTTTTGATATTTCATCCAAATATTCAATAATAATTCCACATAATTCAATTGGTAGTTCAAAAAAATTCATTGAAAAAGAAATAAAAGTTTTTCGAAATGTTTTTAAAAATGTTGACATACAAAAGCTTTCAAAATGTCATTTACATTGACATCGATTTATAGTCGTCAAGGTTTTAATTCTTTTTCAAGTCACTCTTACAATAATAAAAAGACTTTATATAACCAGTTGAATTTAAATATAAACTAGTATCTAAAGGTGTTTTAAGAGCTTGAGAACTTAAATAATGATATGGGACTTTGCCGCCTTTGTTATTAGACCCCTGAAATAATAATAAAAAACAGAAATATTGTTGGAGTGAATTTTTTATTATTATAATCTGTTCGATAATTTCATGGCCTTTATTTTTTAAATATGATTTACGGCATATGTTCGCAACGGCTACGAGTTACATAGTCCATCCGAACAGTCCAATTTTTCACTACTTTTTCCTAGAAATCTCGCCACATGGCGTCTATGGTGGCTTAAATATTGGCTTTCAATGCTTCAAGAGTTGCTGGTTTTGTGGGTATAAACCAATGACTTAACATAGCCCCATAAAAAGTAATTGAGAGGGGTTAAGTCGCACAAACGAGGGGGCCAGTTAACAGGAACAATTCTGGAAATAAAGTTGTCAACAAATTGATTTTGCAATAGAAGTTAAGCATGCTGTATGGCAAGTTGCGCCGTCTTGTTGGCATCAAATGTCATCGATTTTTTTGGAAAATAAAATCAGTCAGCACGGCTTGATAGCTGCTCAACACGCCCCACGCACACGCGCACACACGCACACGCACCTGGCTGCCACCGTGTTTGGCACTATAAGTTAGAAATAGTATTAGGATAGAAATATATTATATGAGTGTGTGTATGTATAGTTGCGATAGTTAAGGCCAATAGGGCGGCCAATTTTAATAACCCAGGCTTTGAACCTAAATATATGTTACAAATACATTGAATAAAACATGTAATGTTGTTTACGTTCATACTGCCAATGCCAAACACATTATTGTCGCTTGAACAAATTATGTCATTTATTGGAGTTTATGCTGCCAACGTCTCAAAGTACTTTAAACTATTATTAGTAGGTATGTTACATAGATCTAGGAGCAAAGTCTTTTGTGACATAGATTTATATACACTAAGGTTAGAGGATGTCAAACACTTTGAATTCAAACTTATAAATTAACTAGCTTGCCAGGCAGACGTTGTTCTGCCCTTTTCGACGACCCTATAAAAAAAGAAAAATTCCTATAAAAAATCCTTGAATTCGCTAAAAAAAATTGTAGGTCGCTCGTGGGCAAAAAAACTATCCTATCTCTCAAGTTGGATCAAACTGCACACGGTGTGCAAATTTGATTAAAATCGGTTCAGTAGTTTAGGAGTTCAACGCGGACAAACAACGTGACACGTAATTTATATATATATATTAAGATTGAATTACGGTTATTTAAATAGTTAAGTATTATAAATTCGTGATTTGTAATGCCTAGTTTTAAATACAGCCTTTAAATCTTCACTTGAACGATAAAATGAGAAATGTTTATTTTATTATTTTAATTATACAAAATTATTCTAACTTTTATTGTTTAAATAAACATTGCCTATTTTAATAATGTTCAATAAACTAGTAATAGCATTTTAAGGTCCAGGACAAAGAGTATATAATCATTACGTTTTAGTCAAGGACTGATTTGTCAACATCAGCTTACTTCTTAGCCTGTAAGGATTTCCACATTGAAGAAATCCTTTATTTCTTCAGTGTAGACCCCGCCCCGTAAGGATAGATTAAATAAATATAAGATTCAAAGGAGATCCAAGTACAAAATAACCTCGTACTGAGGTGGCGCTATGTTATATTAGTATTATTTATAGAATAAGGATGGGAAACAAATACACAGTCCTCCTGAAGGTAAGTGGGTCCATAGACACTTACATCTATCCTCGATTAAGAATCAAAAGTAGATGTGCTGTCACCCATGACGACTAACACAGATTGCCTCATTACAAGTTAAAAGGATCTCCGGTTTTCTCGGCTGCATTATGCTGCTATTTTACACTGGTATTCTGTGAACTTAGTTCTTCGCCGGACGATCCGACACTTTCGTGCTGCAACCGTAATGTAGCTATAGGCTGCAGTGTGGCTCTTTAAAATTAATTATTAATGGAGATAACAAAGAAGTTATTGCCGTGCGATGATGCACTAATTAGCCTGGCAAGCACGACTATTGTGTTTCACGTACTACAAAATATTTCATTTTAGAGTTTTGTGAATAAAGCACCTTATCGCTTGGCAGGACAGCGTGTCGGTATGCAGCGTGTGCCCGGAGTGCATCAGTGTGGACGGATCTGCCCGCGCTGTCGCCTTCCACGACCTGAGTGTGGTGCCTGAGGAGGGCGAAGAGGGGAACAAGGTAATAACAGAATAATATAATTATAATATGTTTCCTGTGCCTCCGATTTCACTTGAAGTTCGAGTATGCTTACTTAGAACAAATTGTCTGACTAGGTAAGTCTAACTCCGACCAGAAGCTAAATTGACGAAACCAACTGGACTTGGCAGTTTTTGGGAGATTACGCCACAACACTTCTCGTCAGCTCGTCACATTTACCTTTTTTATATGAGAGGGTGCAAACGAGCATGTGGCTCACCTGATAGTGACTACCGCCGCCCATGTACAACATGCACAACAACAATTAATACAAAATTTCGAGTTCCCTAATCACCATCTAATATTGGAATTTTACATAACGTTGAGAAATTTCATAATTCTTGCATTAGTCTGTATATTTATTATTTCCTTTATATACCTACCTCTAGTAAGGTATGCGGTGAGGTTGCAGCATAAGACAAAAATCCTTACTATTTTGAAACCCACACGAGGTTACTACAGATTATTATCTTAACACGAGAGATTTTTCGAAAGATTTTTACTTGCTAAGCAATAAACTACTTTGATAAAATTAATATGTAATATGCCGTGAAGTGGAGGTGTAAGGCTATCCGCTATCCTATATCGTCCCGTGGGTGTCGTAAGAGGCGACAGAGGGAAATTGAAACAGGAGATGGGCAGCAGCATCTTCCTGATTACAACTTAAAATAGTAAGAAACTGCAGTTAACTACTCGCTTGCCAAGCGTGGCAACTGACAAAATCCCCACTATGAGGCAATCAATGGGGGAAGCCGATGTTTAGCTGTGGACTTTTATTGGTTGTAATGGATGGGATATAAAACGATTCCCACGGCTATTTTAACGTTCTTGTAGTAAAAAAGTATCCGATATGTTAATCCAGATCAATGGTCTATCTATGTGCCGAATTTCAAACACGAACGGTTTAAGGTAATTGCGTAATTAAGTAACAAAAGTCCAAATATTTTGACAATATTACTTAATATTAGTGTGAATTTTATTTGAAAGAAATACGTGGTAGAGCCTTGCAGCACAGCTATATTACGATTGTTTCAAGAATAGGTCGGCTTGTCCGAGTAAGGACCACACGCTCTCACAGAAACAGAATACCAGCTTCATGCTGCTATTTCATATATTGAAGTGAAAAGTTGAAAAAATCCGTCATCAAAGTAGATCCCGAGATATCTTTTATTTATAAACTTTGTAAAGTTCTGCTATATTGAAATATGTAGTCATATGCCCAAAATAGGGAGCTAGATATTTGTAAAATAATTAGATTTATACGTGGAGAACCGGAGACCTTTTTTACTGAAAACGGGGGTGGCAACGCATCTGCATTTTGATTCTTAATCGAAGATGGATACAGATGTCTATAGGTCACGGCATCAACTTACGATCAGGTGGACAGTGTTTTGGTTTATCGTCCTAATTCTATTTAAAAAAAATACATTTCATCACGAACGCCGGCAAAAAGTAATATACAGGCTGGTGCCGGCCCCTATGCAACAAATAATACGACTTAACAGTGTGTTTTTGTACATACGTAAAAAGCAATTAAATACTAGTAGTAGTTTATCCAGGTCGTCACTCCATCTAGTGGGGGGTCGCCCTACACTACGCCTACCGGTACGAGGCTGCCACTCGAGAACCTTTCTTCCCCATCGGTTATCGGTTCTTCGAGCTATATGGCCGGCCCATTGCCACTTCAGCTTACTAATCCGTTGGGCTATGTCGGTCACTCTGGTTTTACTGCGGATATCCTCATTTCTGAGTCTATCACGCAGAGAAACTCCGAGCATAGCCCTCTCCATAGCTCGCTGAGCGACCTTAAGCGTCCTCATACGGCCAGCAGTGAAGGACCACGTCTCAGATCCGTAAGTCATCACT